AGGAAGTGATTGAATGATCTGAACTAGAGGACTTGACTGCAAAAGATGGATAACATTATAATTATTTATTTGAAGAGCATTAGTGTGCATAGGTTTATAATTTTAGTAATGTTTGTCAAATATCTAATGTATGTATTAATTAATATTATTTGATAATTAAAATTTATGCATGTAATTCTAATATATATATATATATATATATATATATATATATTTATTTTATGTTGAAAATATAAAAATATGCCAAAAATATATATTAATATAATTTTTAACTAAATAATAAAATATTTTTACTATTAAGTTTACATGAATATTTCATTTAATTATTATTCTATTTTCAATTGTATTTTATATTTGTTTTAAATAATAATTTACAATTATATTATTAATTTTCATAATTATTTGTTATTATCAGATCAATATTAGTTATTATTTTATATTTTATAATTATTTAATTATTAGTCAAATAATTTATTTAATATGTCAAAATTATTCGCTTATGGATATGCAATGTACATAATTTTGTAATTGTTTATTTATATAATTTTTAATAACTATTTAAAAAAAGTTAATTTTTTAAATTTGTTTCCAATTACAAACACTTTTAAATTTGTTTTTTCTTTTAAATATATTATCAATGTTAAAATATGGATAATTAATTAAAAAATTATATTTATAATAATTTGAACCTTATTTTATACAAAGGGTAAAATGGTAATTTTCTTAAATAATCAATTAAAATTATAATTTTTATATCTCATATCAATCAAATCATTCACAATTTTCCATAAACTTTTCTTTCATTTTCCATTCATCCAAACAACTTTAATTTCATCTCCATTTCTCTTCAAATTCCTTCTTTTCCACACTCTCATTTCCACTCTCTCAAATCACTCCAACCAAACAAAATGTACATGTGCAAATGAGTTAAATTTAAGATGTCAAAATTTGAATAGAATTGTGCTATATATGTTGTTAAACTTAGTTTAAGTAGTGAAAGAGAGATATACATAATTATTAATACGAATTATTATTATATATTTTAAACTGTATTAACTTATATTTATATTTTTATACAAATTATAAAAAATATTATAATTTAAATAAGTGATACGAAATATTTCCTCGGTTAAGAAAATATTTATTAATTCATACAAATTTAATATTAAGATGTTATGTAATATTTTAATTTAAAATGATTTAATATTAAGTAAAATGATTAATAAATATATAAAATAATCTGTTCGTTCTAAATAATTTATTATTATTATTATTATTTATTTTTAATTATGAAGCCGGTATTTTATGTTATTGCTATGAATAATTTCTAACCATATAAAATTAAATGTTCCTTATCTCTTTAAGAAATAACTCATACATTCCCTATCAAATAAACAGAGTTCTTCTTCCTCTTGTAAGTATGTATGTATGTATCTCTTAAATATAAATGTTTTCATCATTTGAATTGATATTAAGCATTTTAATTTTATTTTAAATTTTCACTTCTTTCATGTACTTACAAAATTATTTTCAACTATTTGATTTAACATTTCAAGAAAAAAACGTTCTCAGTCATCTTAAACTTTTTTTTTAATTATCTTTATTTGTATATTTGATTTTCTTAATCATTTTTTTTCTTTTAATCTCCATTAATTACCCTCGTCAAAGGAAAACAAAATTGCTGAGATTTGTGAAACCTTGAAATGAGACAATGATCAATTTATATAAAAAAAAGTGTTTATTATTTACACCTCAAAAATGGCAAAGTTAACTTACCAGAGATCATTTTCACTATTAACTATTCGTTTCTTCAATTTACAAAAATGTAGATTGTAAACTCCAAAATCAGAAATGTCAACTAAATCAACGGCTGTAACATAACATGGAAGATAAGTTATAACTTTATATTATTATTATTATTATTATTATTTTCCATGTATTTGACAGAAAGAAAGAGCCACAACTCAGCATCGCTAGGCCCAATTGGGTGGTTTTTAATGGGTTTTTTTTAGGCCCAAATAGTGAATTTTACCAGAACAATAACGTTTGTGGCAAGGTCCACGGTAGAAGAAGTAGTTCATGGATTCCTTATTATTTAGGCTTTTGTTTCTTTGTATCTCCATAATTTTTTTTCGCATCTCCGTAATTTTTGTCCGCATCTTCATATTCGAAGTTAAATATTTAAAATATCTTTTTTATTCTAACTTCTTTTTTCTATTTATATACAACTTCTTCTGCATCTTCATCTCTGGTCACCTTCTGGTTATTTGATTTTTTTTATTACTACCTCTATTAAAAACCTTTTCTAACAATTAAAGGTAAGTAGTCATTAATATGATATATGGATTACATGTTCCTGTACTCAAATTACACAAACAGACTTAAATTGCTCAACTTGAAATAGTGTCACGAAAATGAGGTTAAATTTCAGAAAAATCAATCCAAAAATGTATTTTGGAATGTGTTTTCAAAAAGACCAATTTGAAAATGTATTCTGTATTGAGTGTTTTGAAATTCTAGAATGAGTGTTCTGAAATACGTTTTTTGAAAATACTTTCTAAAAACGCATTATAGATGGGTATTCTGGAATGCATTTTCAGAAAAGCCTTTATGGTAATATATTTAGAATTTGGTGTTCTGAAATGAATTTTCAAAAAAGTCTTTTTGAAAACACATTTTAGATTGGGTGTTCCAAGATGCATTTCTGAAAAAATCTTTCCAGAAACGCATTCTAGATTGAGTGTTCCGAAATACCTTTCTAGAAAAGTCTTTCTGAATTAGGTGTTCCGAAGTTCATCTTTAAAAAGTCTTTATAGAAATGCATTTTAGATTGAGTGTTTCTAGAAAAGTCAATTCATTATGAAAATGAAGATAAAAATAAGTGTAAGATAAAACGATCTTTAATAAAAAAGTGCAAGGAGAAATTAGGGGTGCAGGAAACAAAAACCTATACCTTATTATTAACTGACAAAATTTTATGCAAAAAAAAACTTAGAACTAAGTTAAAAAAATTGCTATCTACACGCCCTTTTTATTGAACCACTTCCTTCTCTAGATATTAGTGTTCATAAAAAAAACTTAACATTTTAACACATTTGGCAATGTATTCTCACACTTTTAGGTCTTAAAAAGATCGTCTTAAAATTTTATTTTTATAATATAGGAACACTACTTATAATATAAATATAAACATTTTAAAATAATAATAACAAATATTTTACAACTTACAAAATGTGATTAAAGGGAGTATATCAATTTCCTTATTGAGACATTAAATATTTACTTATTGTATTCTTAAAATAATATTTATTTGGTTAAATTTGATACGATGACATTATTACATAATATTTTTATATATATATATATATATATATAATAATAATAATAATAATAATAATTAAATATATTTTTATTAAGTTTGAAACTCATAAATCCGTTATTAATGTTAGATGAAACTCCATTAATTAATAATTAAACCAGTAAAAAATGGATTTGAGAATATATTAATTGAGCGGATTCACGATTTTTAGAAAATTAAGTAAAGAAAATTAAAATGTTTATTAGAACATCTCTTAAAAATGGAAATCAATGTAGTATGTCGTAAAAAAATCGTTTGAATTGGGTACTACACTTAAAAATAATATTCCTTGACATCTGTTCATTAAAAAAAATCTTATTTATTAAAATATTTTTTATTAGTTTAGTTCCTATAAAATTTAAATAATATTTTTTTCAAACTTTTTAACATATGATATGTGACTTGAGCAATTATTAGAAACATTGCAATTTTTCGTGATAAATCTTCAAATGATATGTAGAATTATCATGCAAATTAATTAAGCTTTTAAGTTTATAACTTTAAGGGTTCGTTTAGTAATAACGAAAAAAATTGAAAGAAAAAGAGGATTAAAATAAAATAAAAAATTTAAAAGATAATAAATAAATAAATCAAAATTAAATCTATACAATAAACAATTATTTATGCAATTAGTGATTATTTTTTTATGTATTTTTTTAATAATATATACATTGATATATAACTATAAAGTGAATTTAATAAAATAATTTTACATTTAAAATATATTAGATTATTCATTTAATTTTTATAATTTTTATTGTATTTATCACACTCTACAAAAATAATATAATTAAAAGTTAATATAAGCATTAAAATTATAAATACAGGAACGAATAATCTTTAATGAATAGTATATAATTTTGTAAAATAATATTTTTTTATACTTTCTATTATTTTTCTCTCAGTAAAAAAATAAAACACGTAGGTCATAGTAGAAGATACATCACTTTTTTTCTTATTAAATAAACAAAATATTTTCTTTTATTCATTTTCCCAGACTTTGATAACTTTTTATTCTCTACTAACCCTGACACTTTGTACCGAAATTTTTGCATAAAATGTATGGCATTTTTTTTTTATCAATTCAAAGCTAATTACAATTTGGGAAGAAAAGCTTCAAATAAATCATAACAATTTATTTAATTTAATTTAAAATCAACACTGCCCGTGATCCATGCGTTTTAGGTTTGATTGTTGCGAGTTTTGGAACACGAACTCGCGCTTCTTGACTAACTAGAGACCACGTACCACGGGACTCATGTGAGACTTTACCAAGAGTCAACCACATAACAACACTTTCTTGTTGAATCTCAAACTTTTTTTTTTTTTTTTCTGCATCACTATCATAAGTAAAGTTTTGGAAACAAATCAAAGTACAAATTGCATAGACCTCGAAAGAGGGAGAAGAGTAGCGTCTAAGGGAAACACAACACAAGATACACAACACAACTTTATATAACCTACGTTTCTTGCATCGGTTGCCACAAATCGCGAGTCATACTAAGATTTTAATGCACTATATATAGTATATATATTCTCACGACACATGCAAACACGCAATTCTGAACAGAGATCAAAGAAAACTAAACTACACACAGTATATGAACTGGGTTAACCACATTAAACTACCAACTTGGTTTTCTTAAACAGTGCATATGCCTTGTTCATTACGGCACACGAAGATGACTTTTAGGGCGTTGAGACAATGACAGTGGAAACTGCAGAGGGAAACAAACCCAAAGTTTACGCTAGCTATAGCAACCTTCTTCATTAGATTATGTAACTCCAAGGGGACAGGGTGACCACACAAGGACACTCTTAGCATCTTCCTCAGTGCCACTGCGAAGTAGAAGACATCCTTTTATTGACAAAGATGTCCTAACAGTTGTAAGGATTTTGTTTATTTATATGTGTCAACTTCTAAAGCTATCTTGTTTATCAGAGACAGTTGAAGGATTTGGCATCTTGCTGGGTCTGTTTAGTGTAGTTTAATTCTGAAGTTTTGTTATATGAAAACTTCTCTCAACTATATTATTATATTGTGAAGTGCAAGGAAATGAAATGAAAGAGGTTACAAACATTACAGTTTAAAAATAACATTTTTATAATGAGTCTTTTTAGATAGTTTCAACTCTTTCTAGGTTCATGATGGTGCACCCAAACCCAATATGATGGTGAGGACCAAATTGGATTTGTGGCAGTGGAACTTTCAAATGAATCATTGCATGCACAAGAAGGGTGGTGCCCATTCTATGGCGGTGGACTTGAGACCCACCCATATGAAGTGAATGATTGGGTTGATATCCTAATAATTGTATATTTAGTTAGATAATTTATATGTGAATTTTTAATCTACATTTAAATTCATGTTACTTCAAATAACTTTTATTTTCATATTTAAATATTTAAACGTCAATTCAATCACATGCTAATAATATAAGAGTGGTGTTTACTTGTGTTCCTTTATCTTCCACGCGGGACATATCAACAAGATAGGAAGATTATGATAGAAAAAGTCTCATTTTAAATATTTAATAGTTCAACTCGAATCATACATTGAATTGAATTGAATTGTGTACAAGTTTATTCACGTGGTCGGTGTTCAGTTACAATCTATTACCTTGAATAAGTGGAAACCATTTATTTAGAAAACAGAAAACAAAAAAATGGAGATAATGGATTAAAAAAAAATAAACAATCAAGTAAAAAAGTGGGTCTTATTATGCCATATATTTAAAGATTTTACCCCAACGCTAAGATTGTTAGTATGAACACTTATGTCAATTATATAGATCCGACTCCTCATACACTTAAAATGTTTTCTTTATATATTTTTCTTGCAAAATTAAATTTTTAACCCCTCCCCTACCACGCACACAAAGTTATATGCCAACAAAAATAATACAAATATACATTGATAAATCATCAAACTTATTCACATACACATTAATATTAATTATTTTGCTAGTTTAGAAAATAGATACGTGGGTAATAATCATCTTTCTTCCTGTATAAAATAGAGAGAAGGTGCCCTTCTTAACTCATTCATATATTCAAACATTAATCATTTTACTGGTTTAAAATGATAATATTAGTTTCCATATAAGATACATGACATTATTATTCTTGATTTAATCTAGTTATTTTATATTTGAAGTTAATATTCTTTTGTTTAAACAAAAAGCCTACATTGCTCACTATTAAATATATAAAAAATTTTATTAAATAAATAATAAAATAAAAAAAGTAGAAGGGAATAGAAAACATTCACATTGGTGCAGATCCAGTATATTAAATGGAGTTCCAGTGGCTTCTTTGATTAGTCCCACAAAAACATGTGCTGTTTTGAGAGTTGCTACAACCATGGCCTATATGTACGAATATTCGATAGGTAGACAAAATGACATTATTACACATTTATAATTATTTGTTGAGACAATTTCCGCATGGACCAAGCAGCACTAGCCAAACACAACTTATAATGCCTAGTGAATATTTCGTTTCAATCAATGTATGTACATAAATAAAGTTAATAATCAATACAACTAATAAATACCTTTTACATTTATAGTATGATAAAAAGAATCCTTACAAATTTTAAATTTCTTATTTTCTATCAAAACACTACCTTTATTCAAAAAAATAGAAGTTTATGACGATGATAGTGTACTTTGCAAGTTGACGTGGGTCATTTTTTGTTACGCCTAAGAGAGACAAGCGTGAAGATGGAGGTGCATAAACAATATCGACCAGTTCCACCTCTTCTAACTCACTATCAATGGCATCATTACTAATTTGCAACGCGAATGGGACCTCCATGCACATTGCAACACCTTACAACTAATCCTCCTCGTGACTGGTTTGGAATTTGAGTCAACACCAAGAAATTCTTTATCCTAACGTAGTACTATTCAATTCATAGTTTATTAAAGTATATTATAAAACAATCAGCTTATAACGTTTTTCTTGGATTCATCTGACACGCTTGCATCTTCATGTAGTGGTGGCTGGTAATAACAGTAACTACTTTGTATCTTATGCGTGTCAACTACTGCATTGTCTTCATCTAGAGGCAAGCCAACAAACCATAATTTTATTGGTTGAAACTTTATGTGAAGCCATCTTTCTGGCCATGCTTCTATTTGCAGGTAAAGGGTCAAATTTGATTTACAAGTTACAACGAATCGGAGCTGAATGAATAGTGATCAATTCAAAGAGCAATGTTTCTAAATTGAGGGGTGTACTTGGAAGTTGCATTATGAGAATGTGGTTAGTACACGGTTCATGTAAGTGATGGTCTAATGGGTCATCACTTTTTGATATTATTATGATAAGACTCTTTGTAAAGTAATCTAGGAAGAACATGATATGTTTGTTATACAGGGTTATTTTCCACACTCTATTCTGAAATTCTTTGAAGTCTCTTCCATTATTTCATGACTGTACAATCAATTTTCATTGTTCTTAGTTACGCGGGAAAGATTGAAAACTGCAGACACATAACTCATTCCTGTGCTGTACAAATGTGAAAATTACAAGGGGAAGATAAACAAAATCCAAAAGCAAAAAAAAATGTGTCATGACTCATGAGCACAGCTTTGGCAAAGATTTTGTATAACTGTTGCCTGATGCTTTTGATTTTGTGATCTTTGCCATTTGGACTTGCATTTTCCTACAGAATTTCTCTAATTCCATGACCCTCCACTGCATTCCTTGTAGATGAGCTTTGAGTTTCTCGTTATCTGTAGAAAGATCAAAATTGCCAGCATATAACACAACCTGTTCACTGGTGTTGTCTTTCTTGACCTGTTGAGCAGCACCACTGGAGCTGCAAGGTGAATCATTGTATGAACTTGTACTGGGAGTAACATGGAGTAAATTCTTGAGCTTAGATTGTTGGGAGATTAGAGCCTGAACTGCGGATTTTGAAGGAAATTTTTTGTTCTGAGATAGGTGTAGGCAAGCTTGAGGTGAAAGCTTCTCATAATTTAAACCACAGCATATCTTCAATCTTTCTTCCTGTGACAATTGAGCATGTACCTATAACAATACTAGTCAGTCCAACAGTTCAACCACACTATGTTTGCACAGACCATGAATTTAAAAGGAAGATTCAATTTTCTCACTGCGTTACACGTATACTATATAAGCATTTCCGATAAAATAGTAGAACAAATCTCAATCAAGTAGTTAACCATATATGTCTGCAGTTACATTTTTCCAAAATTAAATGGAAAGTAATTATTAGAGTAAATAGTGTATTCCCCATAAAAATATAACTGATACAAAAGCTACTTGAAGACAATTTCATAACAATGTCAAATTTCAACTTCAAATCATTTAATATCATGCAGAGTTTTTCAAGAGATATATACACTAATCTTCAAGAATTGAAGCAGGTGACACTTCCCAACATACAATCCATAAAAATTAAACTTTATCTTAATCAAGTAGGCAGCATATGTGACTGAAGTTAGATACTTCCAACACTAGAATTCAAATTGGAAATAACTATTATACCTCAAGATACATATCCAAGGCATGATAGATCTCATCATAAGAATCTCTGGCAGAATCTGGAAGTGCTGTGGTAAGAGCCAAGAACTTTGAAGTTTTCAAACAAGGATCAGGGGCTATTTCTGCTGTATACAAATCTATTAAGCTAGCAACTTTCCTCATCCGAATGGGAGTGACTAGACCATTTCCTCGCCGCAAGAATGCCTTTAACAATCTCAAAACAAGGTTCACATCATACAGATAGCTTATTCCATAAGGAGATGGAACAAGCAAATTGTCCAAGGTTGCTTGATCCAATTGGGAACCAAGCATAGTCTCCAACTTATTCCTGCTACATTTGCGTATGTTCAAACCCAAAGTAACCCTCAGAATCCCAAACAAAGTCTTGCAATGAACACAACATAGATCCATATCATAATGCATATCTATGACCATTTCTATTATCTTGCTCTTCTCATTTGCGGTAGAAGTAGAAAATTTGGCCTTCTGATAGTAGAGAAGAAACCTGCTGATCAAAACGTGGTCCATCTTTCGCGAAAGCATTGACTTAACCAACATTGCAACCAACAAGGGACTCAAAAAAAGGAGATCTTCAAACCACCACGTTAAACGAGTGAAACTTGTTTTTACACTCTCAGTGCTCTTAGAGTCACATGAAAACCGAATCCAAGAACTATCTGTGGAACTAGTTGATGGACATGGACTTGCTTCACTAGCCAAAACCAGCCTCCCCACAATAGTGTCCAAGCATCTTTCTACCATCACAGAAGAATCTGGAACTAGTAAATTCTGGCACTGCTTCAAAGCAATCAAAAGATCTGACCAAGTCCAATAGTTGATCTCTTGGAGTGACTTTTCAGTTTGCTCCAATAAATTAGATACATCAGCTACAGGTTCCTTCATTTCCATGTACTCAGCAGCACAACGCGCAATGAACAAATTGGAAGGACTTATATCAGCTGTTCCATTGTTGTAACAGAATTTTAACATAAGCTCAAAACCTTCTGCACCACCTGGAAAATCATGGAATATTAATTTAAGCTTTCCTGTGCCACCACTAGACTTTCCAAATAATCTAGCAAACTTGTTTGAGTACTGAGTAATAACATTCTGCAAAAGCACCCATTTATGGCCAACTTAGATAATATTGATAATAGACCAAATAATGCACCATAGAACAACCAGATAAGAAAGAAATTGCAGCAAACTCTTAAACGGTAATTTTTATTTATTTTTGTGGAAAAAAAGTAGAGAATAGATTTAATCAAATACCAAAATATCTCACCAAAAATATGAAATCACTGGAGCACATAGACTTAAAGAGGAACAAGGAAAAAGAAAAGGGAAATGGAGAGAATGAGGGGAAAGTTCCACTCCAATTAAAGCTCTGAAACCAAAAGAATGGATTGGAGTCCTTATAGACAATAAATTGTAAGTAAGTGTGAGCAGGAAGGATCTCTATTCACAAATCATCTGGCATGGAAGGATATAGAAAGCAAATAAGTGGCATGAAAGCAACCCTCGGTCCCTCAGAAAAAAACTGTGAATAAAACAAACAAAACGAAGGTGTGAACATTTAAGGCTCAGAAGACCATAGCAGCAGCATTTAATGTGACATACAACATCTAAAAATAAAAACAAAAACAAAAGATGAAAAAGGTGACTCTTGCTTGTGGTTAGTAAAAATGGCGATGGAAATTATTGCCGGGATGGACAAACAGAAGTTGCCCCACCTCCCTGCTATGTAGGTGCAAATTAATGATGGGCGGAACGCTACATACACAAATCATAAAGTAACTCAGGGTAGCCACTACTAGTAGCTAGAAAGCAGAAAAGAGAAAGAAAAAATAAAAATTGCAAGGCATAAATCATTGAACCATAATTATTCTATATTCACGAGTATAGCAGCATTTACCCTTATCTCACTGAACTGAAACCATCAACCAAATACGATATAACAACTAAACTTGTGACCGACCGCTATGTTTTAGTATGGATATTAGATGTTAGCTCCTATAAATAAACCCAAGGAAAAAGGAAAAAAAAAAAAAAGGATTGAGAATTTACAATAAAGGTAAAACATGGAAGAAGAAAATTGAAAAAAGTGAACCATTGTCCAACAAAGTTCCTTTTTTTTGGTGAATTTTGTGAACTAAGTTTTGAAACAAAACAGACAACAAGATTTTCAAAAACAGGAGTGTTGAGCCAAGCAATAAAGAAGAGAGAGAAAGGATTACCTTGTCCACCATGAAGGTCTCTTCTCCATTTACATCCACTTCAAGGTTGCAGCAGCAAACTTCCATAACTTAAAACAAACAAATAAAAAGACAGAAGAAAAAACTAAAGCACAACAACACAAATCAAGGGTCTTCTGAATTGGCTTCTGGGACTTATCTTACATGAAAGATAATCCAAGAAAGGGAGATACATGAGAAAGCCAAACTGGGGAGGGAAGAGGAAGAAGGACTAACAAGATCATACATATTCTGAGACTAACAAGAAGACAAAGCAAATGTGGTCACAGGCACTGGTCCTTGTAATGGGGTGGTGCTAGTCAATTGGCGCAGAAGTAATGTGGTTCTCCAGAGGACACAACAAAGACAAAGCTCGAAGTGAATGAGAAGCAACAAAGCATGTAAAGACAGAAGAGTGAAATATAATATATGTATGAGTCAGAGAGAGCACACACCACAACGCAAGCAAGAAGCAAGGCAAAGAGAGAAAATAATTATATTTTGGTGTGTATAGATAGCCTATTATTATACCATAATATAGCACCGAACCTTCTGACATTCCTGCAAAAATAATATTACTACTAGCCTCTTAAATATCAGCATATTTTATGACTAATAAGTCAGAAAAAAATTAAGACTTAGAACTTAAGCTTTATATCTGGCTTTACCCTTCTCTAGTTTATTCCATCTTCAATGCTGCAAGAGTTTTATATTTGTACACCAACATCACCATGAGGATCGAATATTTTAGTGGCCTTGGTGCCCCCACACCTCTCTTTTTCTTTTCTTTTTTTTCCTCTGTATGTCAACTGTCATATAATTGACCAAATTTACCATGCAGAACTTTTTTTTTTCTCTTTTTTCCTCTGCATGTGCTTCTTCTGGGACCAATTAAAGTCCTTTTATCTACCCCACAAAGCCACCAACCAGTTCCATCACCCAGTCTTGGTTTTGTTTAATAAAAAGTTAAAGTTATAGATGTCATGCAAGGGTCGATATGTCCGAGTGGTTAAGGAGACAGACTCGAAATCTGTTGGGCTATGCCTGCGCAGGTTCGAATCCTGCTGTCGACGACTTTTTTTTTATCAAAAAAGTTGTAATTTCTTCATTTTTTTTCATTAATAATAAATAAATTAATAAAGTATCAAATTATGACACAAGTATAACTAGAACTTAAATTAAAATGTAAAGAATAAAACATAATACTCATAAAAATCATATTAACTAGTATTATGTAAAGAATAAAACATAATACTCATAAAAATCATATTAACTAGTATTATTGTCTTTAGTTTTAATTTTTAAGTGATATAAAACTATTTTGATATGTGATAACATAAGGAATGGTAGAAATATAATTACAGTAATGTGTAAACAAAAATTATATAACAGTTGTGAAAATGAGTTGTGTAGGCCTTTGGGTTAAAGACAAAAGTGGGATGTGATGGAGATTAGACGAAGGGGTTGACAAAGCTGGATGGTGAAAAAGCTCAAACCAGAGAAAGAGAATCGTGAAGAAGATGAAGACAATCCACAGAACGTGACATAAAAAAGTCGTATAGGGTCAGAATCTTTACTTCCTAATTTACAATTTTTTTTTTGTCTCTGAATCTTTTCGGTCTCATCTAACTTTTTTTTTTTTAACCTTTTTCTCTTATAAAAAACCGAACCCCTTTCATCAAATTACACATCTGACATGTCAGGTTTCGATTAATATTTCATTGGCTATGGCTTATAAACATGGTTTTTTTCTTTTCTTTTTTTACCTTATTGGTCTAAATAAAGCTCAAATCTGAGAAGTTTGAGTTGTACTATATTAATTAATACCCCCATAGAGAAAGTTTTCTCCTTTTTTTTTCATTTATAGATAAATATAATATTTTCATTGTTAACACATTTTTTAAGAAAAAGAAGTTACCCCACAACTATGATCAATGCTCTATATCTATATCTATATCTATATCATATATATATATATATATATATATATATATATATATATATATATATATATATATATATATATATATATATATATATGCATCCGTGTACAAGTTTGTACAAAAAGTTCTCCCACTGTTAAAAAAAGTAATGAACTTTATGAACTGCATTAAAGTTCAGTATTGAGAGAGATCATCAACAAGAGAAACTAACTTATGCTAATTTCGTTCATAACTGATTATTTAAAGTATAACTAATAACACTAATAAATACCTATCCACATATTTATTAATAATTTTATTTTATAAATTATTTCAAGATATATTTATAAATACGATTAAGAATCGAAATAATTTATATTTTATATATTTTTTCTTTTTTAATCTACAAGATAATTTTTTAAGAATAAAATGTTAATAAATTGGAACTTCTGAGCAGTATATATAACCTATAATAGAAATAAACAAATGATAATATATGGTTTAATTTTTTTATTGATTAAATTTGAGAAAATATCAAGAAAATATTGACTTTGAGAAAATATCCTTATCATTATATTAAGAATATATACAAATATATATTGAAATGTTCACAAGCCGACCTTAGCTCAGTTGGTAGAGCGGAGGACTGTAGTGGTTAGTGCCTCAGATATCCTTAGGTCGCTGGTTCGAATCCGGCAGGTCGGAATTTCTTATTTTTGATTGGTCCTTTCAAATATACTTATTTTGTGGACAAAAAAAATTACATTTTTATTCTTGAAGTAAAAAATTGTAACCAGTTTCAAATTAATGATGTGGTGAAATTTTTTAACTAACATTATTTTGCAGTGCTAATCTTTATTTTATTATGGTTCAATGTATTGTAATTTACGGTATCCAGGGGTAAATTTATTGGATTAAATATATTTTAAGATCTTGTATTTTTTTCTATTTTTTTAATTTAAAAAATTAATTAATTTATACTCAGTTTTAAAATATATGAATTTATGATAATAAAAAATTGTTACTATGTATAAAATTAATTTTCATCATTTATAATATTTTTCAATTTTATTTATATTATTCGTGTAGTATTTATTAAGTATGAATATGGAAAATGATTTTAGATTAAATAATATATCTCTACAAATAATAAAAGAATATAAAAATATAAAAAATGATTAACATAAATTTGCTAACTTGTAAAATAAAATATATGAAAATGTGAATAAATCATTAATATAAATGTAATGATTCATAAAATTTGAAGTGAAAAAATTATAAATATAAATAATTAAAAAAATTTGGGATGGTCAATCTCTTAACACTCATAAATTTTTTTTGTCATTAATATCTATTATAATCACAAATACGAGAAGATAATAATATCTTTAAAAAACAAATTTTAGAAATAGTTGATTTTTTATAATTTTAGATTATTTTAAAAAAACTACACTATTTTCAGTAACAAGGGTATTATTAAAGATGGATAAGAAATAAGAAAAAAAAAAAAAAAAAACATTGATCACACATTCCTGCACTTCTGAATGGGATACCTCTGCTTAGGTATGTTTCTGTGAGCCCAATAATTGGAGAGTTGTTGGGCTTAATCCTCTAAGTCTTTTGGAATTATAATTTGGGCTCTTCCTTTCTACTTCAATTTGTTTTTTTTTAATAAAAAAAGAGTCTAATAATAATAATACACTGTAAGTAGATATTTATATATATATATATATATATATATATATATATATATATATATATTAAATATTATAATCACATTCATAAAATGATATATAATCAATTAAAGACAAGTGTATGCAAACTCGAGTTATGAAAAATAATGTAATTGTTAACTTAAGACATTCTGAATTAATGCAAGTCAGATTAATAATATTTTAATGATTCTTATATTTTATAATCGTTAAGAATTATATATCTCTAAAATACAAGAAAATAAGTATTGACATGAGAAGTTTCAAGTATTTTTAAAATAAGGAACTGTTTAAATCCATAATTTATTTAATACATTTTAACGATTTAAAAATTTGTTCATGAACTTTAATCTGAAATTTATTAGAATAAATTTTAAAAATATATATTTAGAATTTAAAATGCAATATATAACTATCTGTTTACATAAAATATTAAGAAAACCCACAAATATGAAAAGAGAAAAAAAATCTTTTAATATTTAAAAACTTTGATATTTTAAATATTTGAATGATAATTAATACCTAATGTGATCTGACATTATGCACATAAAAAATAAATGCACGTGTAGTTTCGTTTAAATGAATAATGAATAATGAATAAATGATTATTCGTATATATTATCAAAGAATAATCACATATCATCATTAATCTCTGCAGGCTATATTAGATTTAAAAAAAAATCAAAATTCAAATAAAAAGTTTAGCTTGAAGTCATGCTAAATTTTTTGTTAATGATTTTACAAGTTATAATTTTTGTTTTTGTGTAAGTGTTTATTGGAAAGTTTCTCTCAACAGAGTAAGAGAATTTAACTACAACGTATTAAAATAGTAAAAAAAACTGTACTGAAAAACTTATTCTATTTTTTTAAAGTCTTTTTGAAGAATTTCTATGAACTTATCTTTAATAAAATGTTATATTCATAATTGAAGAAAAATTTCGATCTCTGTAACAAAAAAATTAATACCCCCAATAAGCAAAAAGTCATAAAGTGAAGAAACTAAGTAACCTACATTGACATAGAATGAGCTGGTTGCTACTTGCTTTACTGCAGCATCTTTTTCAAAGGAATCCAAGAGTGGGGAAAAAGAAGAGAAAGCAGACAATAAAGCAAATCAAAAGTTTACAAAGTGTGGACAAAAGAAACTTTTATTGGCCACTTCCTACCTATCTCATTTGAATCCTTATACTCACACTATACACTTGTTTCCTTACTGTTTTTGATCTTAAACAAATAAGACAGAAGAACACTTCCCCTTCAAATGGCTAGAGTAGCAGGCATTTTTCTGTGCCTCCTGATTTTAGTCATGGATGTTGCAGCTGGGATTCTTGGCTTTGAGGCAGAAATAGCACAAAACAAGGTATGGTTGAAGGTAGCTCTATTTTGCCAAGTGCATGGAAGAAATGTGTAACAAGGTAAGACAGCTTCAATGATGTGAAATATATGTTAAACTCTCATTGGTGTTTTTTTTTTTCAACAAACAGGTTAAGCACTTAAGAGTGTGGATATTTGAGTGTAGAGAGCCAAGTCATCAAGCCTTCATGTTGGGGTTGGGAGCAGCAGTGCTTTTGGGACTATCTCATGCTATAGCCAATATGCTAGGTGGCTGCAATTGCATTTGTTCTCAACAAGAGTTTGAGAAGGCTTCTTCCAATAGGCAAATCTCAACAGCTTGCCTCATTTTAACTTGGTAAAGTATATCTTTCTTACTTGTTCTACAAGATTCATGTTAGATACTGATATCATAAAAAAAAATGTACATAACTGCAACAAAATTTGTCATTGGAGATGAACTTGGACTTGGTCTCAGTAATACTAACTTGTTCTCAAACCAAAACCATGGATCAGATCATTCACTAATTCTTTACCCTTTGTTTTTGTCTTTTTGATTAGGGTTGTGTTGGCCATTGGATTGTCCATGTTGGTGATAGGAACCATGTCAAACAATAGGTCAGATGGATCCTGTGGTTTCTCACACCATCATTTCCTGTCCATTGGTGGAATCTGTTGTTTTGTTCATGGTCTGTTCTGTATTGCTTATTACGTTTCTGCCACTGCCTCTATGGATTAATTAGTGAGTAAGAAAAGAATCTGGGGAAGTCACTTATTCATGCTTTAAAGTGCTTTTGGAGCTTTCCCAAAATGAACTCGCTTCGCTTTGCATTCATTGCAAAGTGTGTAGAAGACTTTCATGCCTTTTGTACTATAAAAAGGAAACATTTTTACGTGACCAAGTTACCCTCCTGAATGACTTGTATCTTTTTTATCATAGTTCAAGGAGTAAATTACGCTCACTCCGTCTTTTTTTTTCAAACTTTGGACATGCTTCTCTTTTTATATTCTCGTATTAATCTTCTTATTGGTTTGGAAAACATTATTTGTATTAATTGTTACATTAATACTTTTAATCGTTTGAAAAATATTAGGTTGTATATTTGATAAAAGAAGTTATTGTAAGATTATATACAATTTCAGAAAATCTAGAAGTGTTGGTTTATTCAGGTTTATTGTTGTCTCGAAAAATCTTAGTTTCCGTGGGGTGTTAGAGTAGTTTTAAGAAGTTTAGAAGAATTTTTAAGCATACAAAATATTATTTTAATGAAAATTTACCTAAAACATGTGAATGTTATATAAGTAATTTTAATTTATTTATAGGATTTATTAACTTTTTAAGGTAAATTGTGATTGTATTTATCTAATTTTTAGTTTTCGATTAAATTACTGTTTTTTTTTCTGAATATAAGATTCTTAAAAAGAATTTAAAAATAATAATTGAACATAATCGGTCTTGAAAAATGTTAGCAATTATACTCTATTATTTTTGAAAAGATTATTTTCTATCTATAAAAGTACAAAATATTAGAAAAAAATATTTATTCTTAGTAATCTCGTCTTCGATGGTTCTTCATCTGGTATCACCTACATGAAACTTATGAAAGCAGGTAAAGTACACCCCGTGAAAAACAATGTATCTAATGAAAAATGATACTTGGACCGTGTGATATAATAATAATAATAATAATAATAATAATAATAATAATAATATATTATATAATAATAATATCATCATGGTTAGATAAAATGAGATGAAAAGGACAGAACAAAAAAGTTTCATTGTTGCCACTCTTTTTGTTTTAGATTTTTCAGACAAACTAACCAAGAAAAGAGGAACAAACAACAAATTCACACCAGAACGTTATTTTTGTAATCTTGTTGCTTTCAATGTTAGAGGTTAAACGATAAAAAAAAAATGAACAATTTGAGCTTTGAAGAACAAGATCATAATAAACATTAGATGACTAAACATTGATCAGGAGTGCACACGGAAATGGTGTAATATACATGTCCCTTCAGATAATCAGAGGCAACTTACAGACACAACCAATCCATTAACAATCCAAGTTTTGTTTCCTTAACTTGCCATGTCATGAAGCAGTACAAGATCATGCTTTCTAATCAAAACCACTTACATAACCATACAACAAAATCTCCCCTATCCTTTTTCCATCCCTCAAATTACAAAACAACACCACAATATATAAAAAAACCAACAAATCCTTCAACTGGTGTCATTTTTAACCATGCAAAACTTAAACACAGTTCTTTAACTACTTCTGATTAGTATTGTTCTTCTATCAGATTTAAGGTTTCATTTCGATAGTTTACTTATCAGAGGTTTGCTTTAAAGATCAATATAAATTATGAACTGTATCTAAGTTAGGTCATATGAATATATGAAAGGTTTGGAGATAGAAGTTAGAAGTCCTCGTCATCAGAGCTATCAGAGGTAGAGTAATCCACTCTTCTCTCAGCAATGGCAGGGAAGAGCCTTCTATGCAAATCAGAGGATAGAGTTGGCGATTGTTGACCACGCGCGTCAGGGGAAGAAGCCGAAGTCCTAGGCTCCTTCTTGTTATTGCGGGAAGCCTTGGCCAGCTTCATGGTTGTGTCCTTCACCTCTCTGCAAACCTTGTCCAAGATGAGCAAGAAATCACGCACGATCAAGAACAAACGCAACCCTTCGTCCTTGCCGGAGTTTCCGTGAAAGTAATCGGCAGTGCTCTTAACCAGCGCCATTATCCTCTTCTCCTCCTCAACCAACCACATCACCTCCTCCCTCGCACTCTCCATGAACCGCTCCATGCAAAGCAGGAACTCGCTCTCTTCGTCCAGGTTCCTCATGTCCGTGTTCAGAAACGCCTGTGTCTTCCCCAACGAGTACCCCAGCTTCGACACCGCCGAGGAGAGCGCGTCACCGTCTATCAGCGCCGCCTTCTTCACGGCCACGAGTTCCGCGCCGAGACCCGACACAACCTGGAGGCCGATGCTGCTGTAGTATTCCTCGGAATACTCGCCGCCCTCTTCAGAGTCGTCGTTGGTGCCGACGCTGGTGTTGCTTCGCCTCGCTCTTTCGGCGCGCGCGGCGCGGATTCCCTCGGAGCGGATGATCTCCTCGACGACGAAATGCAGGAGTGTGGTCTTGCCGTCTGTTCCCTTGACGTCGGAGAGTTTGAGGAGGGTGTCGAGCCTGAATGCCTGTGCGCCGCCGCGGTAGGTTCCGTCGTTCATGCGGTTGCCGGTTTTGAGAACTGCCTCTAGGAGTTTCAGGAATAGCCTGCTTTGTCTCAGATCGTTGCAAGACACCTTTTCACATGCATCAAGCAATCGTAAGCCTTTGATATGTTAATAACATCTTATTTCACTCTATTCAATCTCCTTCCATTAATCAAAACATGGCCTTGGTCTTACCTCTAATGTGGAAAAGGAATCCTTGATGCTTGAAAATTCTTCTCTAAGGTTATACATGAACATGAGACATTCAAGACGTTTGAAAGCGAATGGAATGTCAACCAACACTTTGAGAAATCTCTCTGCCGGGCCTAGTTCATGCAGTTGTCCTGTGAATCTCTTAAGCTTCATTTCCTCATCTTGTGTAGGTGCCATCTTCAACAACGTCTGGGTAAGCTCCATGGGAATATCATTACCTGATTCAACCAAATGCAAATCTTAATCTCATGGGAATAAACTAATTTATCAGGAATATGAGATAAAGAGGAAAGAGAATCACCTTCTACAAGAGCATCGACAACTTCTTCTGTTGTCACATTCAGAGCTCGCAAAAGAATTGATAAGTTTTGTGCTTTCTTTGGGTCAATAATCTTAATATATTGCACTGTATCTATAGCCGGTGAATCTTTTTTGCGTTCGTTATTGTTCTGGTTGGTGAAGCCAAATAGAGACTCCATCATTTCCTCGTTGAACCTGAGAAGTTGTCACAAAGGTAAATCAGTGCAAGCAATCTTTCTTGTATATATGTTTTACTTTGTTCATTCAAAAAAAATTTTGATCTTTGACAAGAGTTAATGATCTTACACGAATGATCCTGAACTGATCTCATGCCACACCATGGTTTGGCCAGGTTTTGCATTAACCTTATCCCAGAAAAATGGCTTTAGTTTTGGTTTTGGAGCGTCACCCTCACCTGAACTTCCTTCTTTAGCAAGTGGTCCTTGATTATTACCTCCCGTATGTTTGGGAGGAGCTGGTGGAGGTTGAGCACCTCTTGGAGGCGGTGGTGCACGAGGACCAGGAGGCGGCGGTGCACGAGGCGCAGGTGGTGGTGGTGGTCCACGAGGAGGTGTAGGTGCAGGTGAAGGTGGAGGTGCAGGTGGAGGTGCAGGGGCAGATGCAGGTGCAGGTGCAGGTGCAGGTGCAGATGCAGGTGCAGGTTTTACACTAGAAGGCTCTGGTGCTTTTTCTACACCTTCTGATGATGATCCTGTCTCCACAATTGAAACATTGATATCTCCACCCTTCCTAGAGGAGAAATTTCTAAAATTAGAAGGGTTCTTTCCATTGCCAATGTCATGTTCTTCGACGTCAGAATCTCCCAATCGAACAACCTTCTTTGAACCTGAAGAAAAAAATTAACATGACACCATTGATTGATCCAAGTGTAATGTTTCACAATCATACGAAACAGGATGATAACCTCACACACCGAAAGAATTTAAACATTTTTAAGACCCTAAAGTTTAATGCTTCACTTGATTATTCATTGGCTCGTCTGATAAATGAATATGTTATAAGTTTGTCACTTCAACAAAAATTACAATAAAGTCAATACTAAAATCATGTAAAATGAAGAACATGACCATACCGCCAACATAATCATCTGAGGTTAATACGAGCAAAGGGCTGTCATCGCTATCACTTTTTTTGCTTCTGGTCGCACAATAACAGAGGGCCAAGCCTATCAAGATTACAACTCCTGATAAAGTGGCAGCTAAAATAACTTTTTGCTTCTGTTTGTCATCATTGCTAGGTGGTGGAGGAACAGGTACTAAAGGTCGGAAATTTTTAGGAGGAGAACGAGCTACAGGGAGTGGAGGTGGAAATGGCAAAAACATATCTGGAGGGAGTGGTAAATCCTTACTTTTGGGAATTGGAGTTGGTGGTGATGATGGTGAAGGGGCTGGTGTTGGACTATGACTTGGTGATAATGGAGAACTGGCTGGTGATGGAGAAGGACTTGGTGCCATTTGATTCTTTGGTGATTCAGCAAGCAAATTTCTTCCATGACCACTTTCCACACCAAAGGTTGATCCAGAATTCTCTATCAACAAATATCGAGAGCTACCCTTTTCTAAAACAGGACTAGTACTAAACTTTATGCAATCCGAATTTTTCCTTTTCATATGAAGTGGCAGATGCTTAGTTTCTGTGTGTATATTACTTTTTACAGTCTTTATGTCACTGCTCCCTTCCAGGGGATGCAAGTCATTGTTCCTCACTATCAATTGTTTCCTGCACTGTTTCCACTCATTTTCTACCTGTATCAACCAAATAAGAGAATAGCACCATTCAGAGTAATGTGAAAGATTAACTAATATGTCTTAATAAAAAAAAAAAGATTAACTAACATGTCTAAAATTCTGTTTCCAGTTGCCATGTAATTTACAAAGTCATATAGTTTCACTGGAAGGTTTATACTATCTATCACCGTCACGCTTTATCAAAAATTGAAGTAACAAAACAAGGTATGTTCCTTTATTCAATCAATGTATAGTCAAAAGCAGTGTTTTAAACATAATTGGATCATTTTTTTATGCGTAGTATTCCTGTTAACATAAAATGGTATAAACATTCTTGGTTTTCTTCCAATTTTTACAATAGTAATGGACTTAAAATTGCTTCGTTTCTTCTAATCCAATTTCATTATGCCGAGGCGAAATGATGGTGTTTAACAAATATGAATACTTAAATTAGAATATGGCCTTATTATACTCGTAGCATCATTTACTGAATCATATAACCACAGGCTTATATATCAAGGTGTTTTCTAAATAAAAACATGCATGCATACTTTACTTAAAATTACGCAGACAGATCCTTTTATGTAAACTACCTCTTAGTCATGCAGTTCAAATGAATGGATTTCTGAGCTATTGAACCTAACCGTGCATTTTTTATGAATTCTTTATTTGAAAAATATAGATGGAAGGACATAGTAATTGGTGAATGAAAGCAGATTCATTTAACAAAATTTACAATGAATTGGTCTTGTAGACCTTGTGTATGAACTTTGATATACAAACAGGTAATTATACAGCCAAGTAATCACATAATATGCATGTAGCTCACAGGCTCAAGTCATTTTAATATAGTTCTACATGTAAAACTAGGGAAAGTTCTACATAACCACTAACCAAAAACACAGAATTACCAACCAAACTAGTCAATTACTATGGAACCAAACAGAAGAATATGACAGTCAAAATCAAACATATATGCAGCATGTATGGAAAGAAGAATACTGAGCACAATCATGAACAAACGAGAAATGCCAAAGAAGGGAGAAAAATTCAAAGATAGCGATACCTTTATTCTATGAACATAAATGGATGATGTCAACGCTCCACCATCTCTAGCAAACTCCTCTTCCTTCCCCTCTGAGCCCCCTTGGGCCAACGCACAAAGGAGAATGACATAAACAACAGCATAACTGGGTCTTGTCAATTCCATTATTGTTTTCAAAATCACCAACCCAAACGCAAAATTCAGGTCTCATCTCTCATCGGACATGAATCCTCTTAAGTTTTCTAGCTTACAAATCCAACACTTCGCCGACGAGCTTCTATGTCTTAGAAATCAATAAATATAATAATATCACTCTTTTCCAATATTAATATCCAAACTTCGTAGATCGCTCAACTTCTCCACAAATCCACGAAGGTTGGAGTTTGGAAATTCAACTGGATCTCAGAAACACGGAAATCAGGTTGGAAAGGGACAATATAATCGAAGAGAAAGAGAATATGGCAAAATTTGAAGAAGCAGAACAATGGGTTGATATTTGATGAGATAGCTATATAAATAACGCACTTGGGAAGAACCTATCAAATGAACGTTACGCATGTGAAAGCGTAATAACCCATTCCATGCAATGCAAAGGTATAGCAAGTGTTGAATTGAATCTACGTTGAAAGTTTGAATTTTGTATACGGTGCTCTCCTTTTCTTTTTGCCTCTCTTTTTCTGATTTTGCGTTTTGATGAAATTCTATTGAATTGTAACACCAGTACAAGAATTTGCGTAGCTGGGAGTTTTGATCATTAGAAGGTTTGTTTCTTGTGCTGGGTGTGGAAGGGGGCGTCAGAGGAGAGAGAAAGACAACGACGCATTGAAAGTCCTAATAGGGACGTGGGGAGAACAATATGGGACAACCCATCCATGAACCATCATGCCATGTCTTAGATTCTTCTTCTTCTCTTGCTGTCCTACCCTCCAACCTACATCTTTTTACTTTTCTTTTTTTATATGCTTCCACCACTTAATTTTATTTTACTTTATCGTCCCTCTACCTACTCCGCAGCGGTTTATAATATTGGATACGTTTAAAATAAGAGTTTATCAAATAATTTTTTTTTTGCTTTAGAAAAAAAAAAACTACCTCTTGTTTAAATAAACAGATTAAACAAATTTATAAAAACAATAATTTACTTATTTTATTTAAAAACAAAATTTTCTAAATAAGCACACACAAACAATAAAAACCAAATTTTTAAATACATCAAGCTCATAGGTCCGCATAGTCTGTATATTTATGCTCATCATAGATTTTTGTAAGAGTTGATCGAACGCGTTCAACTAATAATTTCACTAAAAAGAGTGGAGTTTGACTTAAATAGTTTTCATTAAAAAAAAAGTCAGCAAAAATCTTCAGTGTGTGTGCGTGAGAGAGAGAAATAGGTTTAATCTATAATTTATTTTAGTCCTTTTCAAAATGAATTTTCAATAATACAACTACATATATTTTTATAAACAATTCAACACAAAAAAAAAAACCAACATTTAGAAAACCATCTAATTAGTTTTTTCACTAAATGAAAAATAAATATTTTTTTTACAAGTTTTTAACTACAAACAAACATACAGTAAAGTAGTCCGATCACACTATAAAATGTATTTAAATTTATTACAATTTTATTAGTTTCCAATGTTAGAATTAATTTAATTAATTCATTCCATTTATGTGATTCATGTGAAATAAAATAATGGGCCCAAATGTGATTTAATAATTATAAGGACCTATTGGTTATTATGTGAAGTCAGAATAAAATAAAGATAAAATAAAATATTAAGCGAAAGTAACCAACTCGATGGACGTTGGTTAATAAAAGGGATTAGGGTTCTGTCTCTGGCCATAAGGTTCTTTTCACGGTAAACCATCAAGAAAGAAAAGTGAGAAGAGAAAGAAAGGCAAAGAGATAGATTGGGAAAAGGAGATTAGAGAACAAAAGATTAAGAAAGGATTCTCATGGATCAAGGTTAGTTCTCTTACTATGATTTATGTATTGACGTAATGCAAATGTGAAAATCAATAATCTAAAGATCCTGTAGAGTAGTTTTCTATAATGAATTAATAACGTAAGAAAATTACATAAAGTTTTACATGTGGTATCAGAGCCTAGTTCTTAGATTTATGATTTTCCTCTTATGATAAATTTTCCCAAATTATGTTTTTCTCAAATTAAGATTAACCCTAATTATGAATTTAGGGATTAACCCTAATTATGAATTTAGGGATTTTTCAATTATATTAGGATGAACCCTAATTATTCCCATAACTTATTTTTTCAAAATTAAATAAACGGATCAAACCCTAATTTATTTTGGACCTCTTACTGTTTGGCATCAATGGTTGCGTAATTAATTTATAATGTAATTAATTTCCGCTGCGATTAATTAACTATGCAATTAAGTTGGTGAGACCTGTGCAATTGAATTGCAAAAGTGAGTGAATGACTTCGTACAGTTGTTTAATATGCAACAAATGATTTTATATTTATGAATTGGTAAATGCTTGATTGAGGATTGATTAGATGTTTGGAGTTTGTCTTATGCGCCGCAAGGTATCTCAAACATAATGATAATAGAAAAACAATTGAAGGAACTCATGTACCTGTTGCCTTACGTGTTCTAGTAAAAGATGTACGCTAACGTGCAATTGGATCAAAACATGCTTTCGGTTTAGGTGCGCCAACGTGTGTCACTTGCACGCCAACGTGCGCCACTAGCATATTAGGTGCGCCAGTTGCATAAAATGGGAATAAATGTAGCATTTGTCTTATTATGAATGTTGGCCGCTCCAATTAATTTAAATTGCAATATAGATTTGAAACGTAAATATTAATGTGGAGGCCAAAATGTGACAGGTAAATAAATTATGGTTTGTTATTACTAAATAAATAAATAAATAAATCATAATAGAAAATATTATAAATGATTAATAATAATTAAAGTTATTATTTTATTTGAAATTAAGTATGATAAATTTTGTTAGTCACCAAAGTGGCCAAAATTTTAAGGTTATTTTAATTTCAAATTATTAGTGATTTTATTTCAATTACCCATAGTATGAACGCTAAAATTTTGAATAATTGATTTATGGGTTAATTGAAGTTCATTATTATAAGACATTTTAGGATCACCCAAAGGTTGATTAATTGTTATTATAATTAATGAACATGAAAGTAGATAATTTTCTATGCGTCACTAGTTTTATTTATATACCCAAAGGTATTAGGTGATTCTAGTTGATGCATATTTTAATTATCATTAATGTTATAAAATGATTAGCGTAATTATGTTTGTGTATTGGTGGATCTCCCAAAGGAGAACATTAGTATGCAGAGAATGGTAATTTATGGTTGAATCTGTATTTATGTTTAATTTTATGACTCAAAGTATTAATGTTAGGCATGTGGTAATTGCAGTATCTGTTCCTGTAGCTCTGCATTCGCTATCTTCGTCTGTTCCAGTCTTTAATGGGTTAAATTTCCCTGACTGGAGTGAACAAGTCCAATTTCACTTAGGTGTGTTGGATCTTGATTTGGCTTTCCAAGTTGAAAAACCGGCTGCTATCACTGATGCTAGTAGTAATGAAGAGAAAACTCATTATAGAGCTTGGGAAAGATCAAACAGACTTAGCCTTATGTTTATGCGAATGAGTGTAGCAAGCAATATTAAGTCTGCTCTTCCCAAAACTGAGGATGCGAAAGAATTCATGAAATTTGTGGAAGAGCGCTCTCAAACTGCTGACAAATCCCTCGCTGGGACATTGATGAGTACGTTGACCACCATGAAGTTTGATGGTTCTCGTAGTATGCATGAACACGTAATCGAAATGACAAATATCGCAGCAAGACTGAAATCTCTTGGAATGGCAGTGGAAGAAAATTTCCTTGTGCAGTTCATTTTGAACTCGTTACCGCCTGAGTATGGTCCGTTTCAGATGAACTATAACACCATGAAAGATAAATGGAATGTGCATGAATTGCACAGTATGTTAGTCCAGGAGGAGACCAGACTCAAGAACCTAGGAAGTCACTCTATTCATTACGTGAAAAATCAAGGAACTAAAAAGAAAGTTATTAAGAAACATGGAAAGGGTAAAGGACCATTAAAGATTAACGAGTCCTCTACTAACATTCAGAAGAAAAATGACAAATGTCATTTTTGCGGGAAGTCTGGACATTTTCAGAAGGACTGCTTAAAACGTAAAGCTTGGTTCGAAAAGAAAGGTGAGCATAGTGCATACGTATGTTTTGAATCAAATTTAACTGAAGTTCCCCATAATACTTGGTGGATTGATTCTGGATGTACAACTCATGTTTCTAATGTGATGCAGGGATTCCTTTCAACCCGAACCATAAACCCAAATGAGAAGTTCGTCTTCATGGGGAATAAAGTCAAGGTTCCAGTGGAAGCTGTCGGGACTTATCGTTTAATCCTTGACACTGGATATCACTTAGACCTTATGGATACTTTTTATGTACCTAGTATCACTAGAAATTTAGTTTCTTTGTCTAAGCTCGATGTTGCTTGGATACTCTTTTAAGTTTGGGAATAGTTGTTTCAGCTTATTTAAGCGTACATGTATGATTGGAACTGGTACACTTTATGATGGTTTATATAAATTGAATTTGGATAATTTATATGCTGAAACTCTCATGACCTTGCATCATAATGTTGGCACTAAACGTAGTTTGGTGGATGAAAGATCTCGCTTATTTGTGGCATAAGCGTTTGGGACATATTTCCAAAGAAAGAATGCAAAGATTAGTAAAGAATGAAATCCTTCCGGATTTAGATTTTACTGATCCGAATGTATGTGTGGATTGTATTAAAGGTAAACAAACAAAACACACAAAGAAAGGAGCCACAAGAAGCACTCAACTTCTTGAAATCATACACACTCGATATATGTGGTCCATTTGACGTAAATTCTTTTAATAAAGAGAAGTATTTCATCACTTTCATTGACGATTTCTCGCGTTATGGATATGTCTATTTACTATATGAGAAATCTCAAGCAAGTAAATGCCTTAGAAAGTTATATAAACGAAGTGGAGAGGCAATTAGACGAAAGGTGAAAATTGTCGAGTCGGATAGAGGTGGTGAGTATTATGGAAGATATGATGAAAGTGGACAACACCCTGGTCCGTTTGCTAAGTTCCTCGA